ATTTTTTTTTTTTTTTTTTTTGCACTTAACCTACTGTGCTTTTGCTATAATGAGGTCAAAACTTAATATTCAATGAATTATTAGTGGTTTTGTACATTCCATATAAAGGATACTGAATTCAGTTAAACACATTAGCTTTATGTTAATGGTGTGATGGATTTAAGCCTTGGAAATGAAGTTTTTTCATGAAACTTTATCCGACGTAAATCAATACTATTAATTAGGCCTTAGTGATTTCGGATTAAATCGAAAGAAAAGAATTGTAATATTTATATAAATAGTCGGTCAAATTCATGGTTTATCTTTTCTAATCCATATACATAAATTATACACGTATTATATATATCTACTACCTATTTTTAATTTAAACGGTTGAATATACGACTAATTAGGTTAATTCTTCAAAAAAAAAATCCATTGACGTGCCTCCATGGGCTGGCAGTAAGATAGTCAAAATCCTTTGAAAGTTGCAAGTACTTTCAGTCCACCTTAACCCAAGTCAAAAGACCAGTATGATATGAGATTGAAAATTTTCATAAAGTACTTATCTTTTAATGGTAATTAACTATCTATAAATACCATTTGCTATATTACGGATTGTAAATACATTTTCTATTTTTATAAGATATGTTAGATGTATTTAAGCTACTGTATTCATGAATACAGTAGCAAAAATAGACGTGAATCAGAGAAGTCGAGCTAATCAATTGTTGTATTCGACTGTATTCATGGCATGAAACATGGGATTACAGTTGGACAGATTATTGTATTCCACTGTATTCACGACGTGAAACAGGGGATTACACTGTTTTTAAACGGAAAGTGAATCAATTAACATAAACTCCTAATATAACTCAACAAACTCAATTATAACACACAAATTTTGTATTTCTAGTTATAAAAAAGATTCTCAACCGAAAAATACCCCAAAAACATAGCAATCTTCAGAGAAATTATATAATACATCTGAATACATAAATTATATTAATTAAAAAAAACATATGAATACATTCATGGCATATAGCGAAACAGTGAGTACAATAAAATACATAGAATACATCAGGATGCATTGAAATACAATGAAAAAAAGACAGTGAATACAATGAAATACATGAAATACAACGAGATACATTGAATTACAATGAAAAAAGACAATGAATACAATGAAATATATGAGTGCTCATCAAATTGATACCATTGTGAAACGACGAACTGTTACAGAGCCTATTATATATTCCTATGAGATAGAAAATGGAAAATAAAGTGAAAAATTGGAAGTCGTTGGATTTGAAACAAGCTAATCTGAATATGATTCTTTGTGGTGCATTACTAATTGAAGCAAAGAGAGAAATTTGAACTGAATAAGCTGGAGTTGCAGGTTTATGGAGCCGCTGATCTCAAGAGTTCCGATGATGGTTATTGAAGGAAACCATGAGATTGAGCCTCAAGTAGCAGGCCTCACATTCCAGTCGTACTTGACAAGATTTGTTGTTCCTTCAAAGGAATCTGGCTCTAACAGTAACTCGTGGTTTCAGGGAATGGGGGAAGAGAATAACATGTATCAAAGTAGAGAGAGAAAGAAAATAGTGTAACTGAATAGCGTATTAGGGGTAGGAGGTAACCAAAATTAGATATTTTGCTATAAACATTAAAATGTATCTATAGAATATAATTTTTTTAAATGGTATTTATTTAAAATAAACAAGGTGTTAACCTTTGCTATTAGAAGGTAAAAATTCCTATGAGATTTGCAGTAAATTTTAGCTCAGGCTAAGTTGGGCTTAACAAGAAACCAGCAATCTTTTGGGCCACGATTGCGCCTGCAAATGCTAGATAATTCATTTTTTCCTTGAGAAGGTGAAGAGAAGAAACAAAGAATAATTGATCTGCCATACAGCTGACTAATCACGCTAAGAAATTCATTCATATTCAACTAAATGGATGATAGTATTATAAATTCACGTTGTCAAGTTCAGTAGCTACATCATATCTTGTAACATTCAAGACAATGCAAAACACCAAAAAGTTACTGTTTTTCTCTCTTTTCCTTCGAAAGGATTTAGTGCACTACAAAACTCAAATTTAACCGACATTAGCATCACCTTTGTGATGCATTTGACATGAACAAGAACAGAGATTACCTTTTTACGGAAACTTGGAAAATAAGCTAATTAATACCTTGAAATGCAGGGAAAGATGCATGAATCCGCACACAGAAATGGAAAGAAGAGATGATTTTTCCTCGTAGTAATTGCGGATCTTAGGAAACGCATTGAAAAAGACACTCACCTGCAACACCAATATATATCCAAGACATATTAGGCAAGACATATTAGGCACGTAATTGAACAACAATATCTTGGAGGCAAAACTATATATTGGAGTAGATTATCCGTCCTCCACATTTCAAGAAACTGGAGAGCCTCAACCACGTTAATAAACCAATACAACCTACTAATGGAGTTTGGTTCTGGCAGAAAGACATTTCAGAGGCCCAACACCCATGAAAAGAAACACGCATAGAAAAATGCACTTAGCAGTTAGGACCGCAGACGCTGGAATGGTTTCATTTAACAAAAGGCAATGAATTTGTAATTCGATATGCTTCCCACATGGTTGGAAAATGATAAAAGGTTGGATACAGTGCTTATTCCTGAGTCAGGCCCTTTTGTTATAAGGTCTTTTAGAAAGTGGTGAACTGACAATGAACGACACATAGATGATGTGCTGGTTTTCTCCCTAAAGCAAACCAAAGCTCCTCCTCCACAATGATCAGATGTCACATGATCTATCATTCCAAGCAATAATCACAAGCACCAACCCACACATGCACAAATTAATCTTTAAGGATCAACAACCAATTAGGGGAAAAGAAGGAACCATCAACAACTAATGTTGATCCAACAAATTGGAATATTCAAGTGGTCTGATTGATTGGCTGCACAGGCATGATATCCGGTTCAAATGTGATGAGTATGACAGTAATGTTTGAAAGGTAAAAACGTCTGACCATGCACCACTTCTCAATTTGTCAGTAACAGGGAAATAAGATGCAATCTTCCCATTTAATTGAAGGGATACCATGAAAAAGAAGTGGAAATGTCAGTCTCATAACAAAATCAGCATTAATGAAGAGGTAAAAGGTGGAGAATGCACAACAGCGCAAGAATTTGAAATTGAATTCACGGTCATGATTCTTAAAAAGACATTCATTTGTGTAGCATGGGTTTACCTCTGATCCAACAGAAATGCACCGTTCTTAGAAGTAACATAAAAGAAGCTGGATTTCAACAAAGATACATTCTATTAGCACCCAAGGGTGTAGCCTAGTGGTCAATGAAGCGGATTGAGAATTTGACGTTTCAGGTTCAAATCTCAGTGGAGACAAAAACACAAGGTGATTTTTTCGCATCTATGCAAGCCTTGGTGGATAGAATTACCTGGTACCTGTTGCTAGTGGGAGGAAGCAGGTATCCCGTGGAATTCGTCGAAGTATGCGCAAGCTGGCCCAAAAACCACAATTATAAAACAAATGTACAGTCCATTTGTTTTCTTCGGAAAGATTGTTTAAATCTAATTTAAACAAGAAGAAGAAGAAGATAGAAATGCTTATATGTTGGATTATTAACAATTAACCACAAGATATATAAGTCGTTTTACTTCAATACTTCAGTTATAGACGGTCAAGCCCCTAATGTCTTGAGTTTCTAAAGAAAGAAAGAAGCAACTTGCATCTGAAAACATGTCAGATTTTCAAACATGAGGACTGTTGTACCATATCATCAATTATCACTATTAGGACATATATCCACGACATACATAGTGATGATCAAATTAGCCGCATCACCCAACATATAAATTACAGAAGTGAGAAAGTGTTTGAACAATATAGTCGATAACATTGTGGTAATGGAAACCAAAAACTCGGGAAACAATCTATACAATCAGTGGTTAACATGTAATATACAGGAGTCAACAATGTGTTCCAGGGGAAAACAGCCATTGGTCAAAAGTTAGGTCACTAGAGACTAAAAGAGATTATCCAACTTCAGTGGGTCATTTCATAAATGAATTCGCCTAAACTTGCAGCTGTAGTAGCTTACAGGGTTTGTTAAATTTATTTTTTAGTGCACATGTGCTTATGCATCCCTACGCATATTTGTAGAAAGGAAATCCTTATTCAAGATCATAATTATGATTGCAGATCTCATATCCTTACAGGATCTTGAAGTTTATAGCTTTTGAAAGTAGATTTTTCACATAATCACATGGAAATAGTATTGAAAATCTCAAGAATTCTTAGCTATACTAGGTATTGTAGAGGAGATCTCCACAATGATATGAACTTATAGAATCTTAAATGCACTTGAAGTGAATTTTAGAATCTAAGGTGGCACGTCCAAAATTCTTTTTTTTTTATTACTTATTTCCCCAAAACTTACAACTGTCACATTCCCATTTTGGAAGGAATAAAGGTTGGAGTAATACAAAGAGAAAATAAAAAATAAAGCATCAACAATGACGAAATGGCGTAATCTATTACAGTATTTATGCAAACCTAAGACAAGATATATATATATATATATATATATATATGTGAAACAAAAACAAAAGAAAGAATAGAAGAAAGACCAAAATCATTTTATCCATATAACGATGAGCTACTGAGGAGACTCAATCACTTAAGAATTTAGGAGAAGCACATTAAGAATATTCATATGGATGGATATAATTCGCACTATTCACCTACATCCTCATATACAGAATTTACAATGTTTTCACAAAAAATCAGGGTAAATGTTGGTTCAGGTTAAAGAATAAAAACAAGAAAAAACAAGTGAAAAAAAGTGTCAATTTTATCTTATTCATTTAGCACCCACAAACATCAAACAATATCCTTTAAGAGTCAAAACCAGGATCGTATCCACATGGACTAAATTTAGAGGTTATCAGTACACATAACCAAAAGATTCAGAACTAGAAAAAACATATTTGGTGAACTCCATACTTTGATTTTCAAAATACATCATTTTATGAAGTGTAAATTGACATGTGCCAATTAAGCTGAACATTCTTGTTTCTTACCCAAGTGACGTTAGTCACTAACACATTACAAGTTGCTTATAAGTTTTAACTAACTTAACAACATTTTAGTGTAGGAAAGTTGACAAATTGGGTAACCAAATCAGCCAAATTAGCCAGCAATTTATTGCCCTAAACAAAATTGGACATAGCTTAACTAGAATATTGCCCTCAACAAGTCGGACGTATTTAAACCAAATTTTTCTACTTTCTAAAGCATTACCGATAGCAACGAATAATTAGGAAAGTCATCATTCAGAAGGTAGCTTATAAACATTTAAATAAAGCCAACCACTTACTAACATATCCATCATGACTTGGGACTGCAAGTAACCCGCACAAGAATGGACAATTTAGATGACAATTCAAAGAGTTGATGACGACATTAGACTTGGATGTGCTCAAAACGTGTTATGTTCCATATTCACATGATTCCAAATGAGGCGTGTCGTCTTTGAGGCTAGATTTCTGCATCACTTGATGGTTCTACGTTCAGAAAAACAGAGTTATGCCAGCTGTAAAGAACTTCAAAGCTTATTTTGCAATACTCGTTATTTGATAATATGATTTTAAAAGCAATCATTTGATGTAGGTGCGCAGGATAAAACGACATAGTCCTATTGAGCTAAATATTTTGTTTCTAATCTAGGTCAGTATTACCACTAATACTCTCAAGAAGAAAGCATGAAAAGCAGAGTGACATAGGAGCTAAAACATGGATATGGGCAATAGTGAAAAGAGAGGATGAGTTATAATCAAAGGACTCGGGAATTAAAAAGCATTTGGTGAAATTCAGATGGAATTTCTTAGGCGCTTCTCTTTAAAAGTGTAAATAGATAGAATAATTCAAAACTTAATCTGTATTATCCAATTCAAAATGTTAACATGTATAGCTATGAATAGATCCTCCAACAGCATTGTCGGAGGGAAAAGCCAGAACTCCAGCTAGCAAGATGATACGTTGCAGCACCTTCATTGCATGTAGACCGTGTGTCTCTCACATGGAAGAACTTTATTTAAATGGATTACTCAATCTACTACACCACTCCACCTCATCTCCATTTACTATCGTCACCTTCACTACAATCACACTTCATCTCTATTTAAAGCAACAAAACCTGCATCCTCAAGTTCACCACAATCTCACTCCATCTCTATGTACTTACAGTGCAAGCTCGTTCCTTTCAACCCAAAGTGGTCTGCTCCCTCACTGAACTCCGAATTCAGGCCCTCCATATCATACAGTAACTTGAGCACAGACCATGAGAAATCTCATTTTCGAAGAACCTGGGATCAGAGTAAATACCAATACTACTCAAAGTATAAATCATGCCTGGGAGCGGATACGAGTTCCAGTAGTTGTGCCTGCTCTACATCTTGCAATGTATATATGCATAGGGATGTCCATCATGCTCTTCCTTGAGCGCATTTACATGGCAATAGTGATCGCAGGGGTCAAGTGCTTTGGAAGGAAAAGATATACGAAGTATAAGCTCGAGTCTGTAAAAGAAGACCTAGAGAAGCACAAAAACTACCCAATGGTGTTGGTCCAAATACCTATGTTCAACGAAAAGGAGGTACATACCTGCCAGAACCTTTTAACTTTACTTGAGTATATGTCTTTTCTGTTCAAGTTCCAGAGATTTACAGTTATGCATACATGATTATTGTTCAGCATTGTGTCTCAATTTTAACTGTTTGCTTAGAAGTAACTAAGAATATGTTTGTTTTCATCCCCCTTTCTTTTTCTCGATCGGTGGTTATAATGTTTCCATCTTAAAAGTAATTTGTAGAAAATAAATCACTAACATACAATGATCCCAAAACTGAAAGAAATTTAGTCAATCAGCAACAGAAAATACAATTTCGTTTCTCAAAACCCCCAATAATCAAAAATCTAGAAACAACACTAGTGTAAAACTGTACTGAGTATCAAGTGAAAGTTCATTGGAGGATTTTACCTTCAATGCTAGTGGAGCAATCTTTGTTCTTCTCTCACCCTTACCCTTCCTGGCTTCCCCATACCCAGACCATTCAGAAAAGAATTAGAATAATGGCAAAATTACACCACAAATGCCAGAAATTTCTTAAATGGAAAAATAGATGCAAGAAATTAATCCCTTCTCATATAAATCCTGAACCATTAGTCAGACTTTACTGATTAAGTTGACAAATCTTTTGTCGGTGTCTAATCTTTTCGTCTTGAGTACTGCTACAAAACCATGTTTTTAGTAGCAGGAGACCAAATAAATAAGATAGATCTAACAGGTCAATGTTAATTGGCTAACAAGGTCAAACCAGGACGGTAAGCCAGAACATGGGAAGGAAGCTTATTGTCCATCTCTTTAAAAATTCCAAAAGGAGCAAGATAGTTTAAGGACGTTTTGATCAATAGAATCTACATACTATTTGACTGATTGTAGAAATGATAGATTTATGTTAATCGTCCAACATTGTTAATGACTTGTAGATAGCTTAATAAGCACATCTAATTAAAACCCAACAGAAACAAACCTAGATATTTTCTGCCATTATGCAATTTAAATTTGAGAATGTCACTAGCATATTGACTGTAAGGGTCTAGCCTCTAGCTTAGTTGGACAAGGAACAACGTTTAGGAGCATATAACATAAAGGCACTAATATTTGTGCCTTGCTCCTGATCAAAGAAAATAAAAACTGGGCAACAAGAAAAAAGCATTTGGAATTAGTCTGAGTGCCAACAAGAATAGCAGATTAATAGGAATATAAACTTTCTTTACAATGAAAACCATTACTCATCTTATTGTTCTTCAGGTTTACAAGCTCTCTATTGGAGCTGTATGTGGCTTGTCATGGCCATCAGATAGGCTCATTGTGCAGGTTCTTGATGACTCCACCAATGAAGTTTTAAGGGTATCTCTTTCAACTCAACATTATCTGAGAGCAAAATTTAAGAATCTTCTGAATCCCAAATAATTTTTGAGGATATATTTGCAGACATTAGTGGACTTGGAATGTCGAAAGTGGATAGAGAGAGGGATAAACGTGAAATACGAAACAAGAAACAACAGGAATGGCTACAAAGCGGGTGCTCTCAAGGAAGGTCTAAAGAAGCAGTATGTTGATGACTGTGAGTTTGTTGTGATCTTTGATGCAGACTTTCAGCCTGATGAAGACTTTCTTTGGAGGACCATACCATATCTTCTCGACAACCCAGAATTGGCTTTGGTTCAAGCCAGATGGAAATTTGGTAAGGCCAAAGACAGCAATATGTCCATAACACACTGAATTATTGGTCATGTTTCTCAAAAACTAATTTTTTTAAAGGTGTTCAAAAGAGGTATAACACAATTAATGAACAGTAATATTATTATGTTGTGACAGTAAACTGCGATTGCATCCATTTTATAATTACAGGATTCCTTTATGTTGTTTCCATCTCACTCAAAGAACTTTTCATGAAGAAATTTATCTAAAAAAGAAATATATTCAGCAAACTGTCCTTAATCTATTTAAAGGCAATGCCTGCGTAGACTCATAGGCAGAATTAACAGCTTCAGTCGTATTTCTTACTAACCTAGTCATTAACGTAATCAAAATGTTTCCACAGTTAATGCAGATGAATGTCTGATGACTCGACTCCAGGAGATGTCATTGGACTATCACTTCAGTGTTGAGCAAGAAGTTGGCTCGTCAACATGTTCATTCTTTGGGTTCAACGGTAAACCAAGAGTCAGATCTCACTCTACATACAGGCATTCAACAGCTAGAAATTATTTTGAGAATGCAATTAGCTTTTTGGATTGAATTGTAGGGACTGCTGGCGTCTGGAGAATTCAAGCAGTGAATGATGCTGGTGGATGGAAAGACAGGACCACAGTAGAGGACATGGATCTTGCAGTCAGGGCTAGCCTTAAGGGTTGGAAATTTGTGTTTGTGGGTGACCTAGCTGTGAGTTCACAACTTCAAAAATTCTTATTTATGGAAATGACTAGAAGCCTCTATCTATCAGAAGCATAACATAGTTCATTTAGGTCAAGAACGAACTCCCAAGTACCTTCAAGGCTTATAGATTTCAGCAGCACCGCTGGTCGTGTGGCCCAGCTAACCTCTTTCGCAAGATGATGAAAGAGATCATGCTTTGCGAGGTGATACTATTTTCTAAATTCTGTCTATTTTTTTTAAAAAAAGAAGCTTTTCTGTCAACAAGTCACATCACACCTTTTCTTTTAATGCAGCGTGTATCAATCTGGAAGAAGTTTCATCTCATCTACGGCTTCTTCTTTGTGAGGAAGATTATTGCACACTGGGTTACTTTTTTCTTTTACTGTGTTGTCATTCCAGCAACTATCTTAGTGCCTGAAGTCCATCTTACAAAGCCTCTAGCTATATATCTTCCAGCAACCATTACCATTCTTAATGCCGCTTGCACACCAAGGTATGTGAACTCAAACTCAGAAAACCTTCTTCTGTTCATTTACATATTTTTGAAAGAACGATAATTACACAGCTTAGTATTGTTTCCATGCAGATCTTTCCATCTTCTTGTATTCTGGATCCTATTCGAGAACGTCATGTCTCTCCATCGATCTAAGGCAACAATAATAGGACTCTTAGAAGCCAACCGAGTAAATGAATGGGTTGTAACTGAGAAGCTGGGGAACATGATGAAGCAAAAGTATAGTGCCAAGGCATCAAAGAGACCAAGATCGAGGATAGGTGAAAGGTAATCGTATATTGATACTTTTTATTACATTTGACAGTTTATTCAGTCCTACAAAGTTGGTAACATCAAAGTATTCTCTATCCTGCAAATTTCTGATTGCAACCTGCACTATGGTTTGAAAACAGGATTCATGTCTTAGAGCTGCTAATGGGAATGTATATGCTATACTGTGCTATATACAACATGCTATTTGGAAATGATCACTTTTTCATATACCTGTTCCTGCAAGCAGGAGCTTTCTTCATCGTTGGAGTAGGGTATGTTGGAACATTTGTCCCCAATTAGCGAATCCAGTGAACATAGATGCCACTATCGTGTTGGACAGACAGCAAGAACCATGCCCAGCTAGTAGACTAATAGTGTGTAAGTGCTAAATTGTATAAAAACTTAGGCCCTGCGAGAGCTCAAAGGTTTCAATGTAATAATGTGTTGTCTCATATTTATACATTTGCAGAATTGACAGCTTGTTCATTTGGCTGTCCAAATAACTTTTGCTACACTTCAGCCTGTTATCAGATTTCCACTGCATAACATACATGCAGTAAATTATGAACAAAATGAACAGTAGTATTGTGTTTTCTTTCCTGCTTATCAAGAAAGATATTTTCTCTTCTTTTGTATAAGAAAAAGGTGAATAGGTGAAACTTGATACTTTAAGTAAGCATATTTTACTTCAAGATTTAACACTTCCTGATGAGCTTAATGAACCTATGGATCCAAGAACCTCCAAATTTTATAAACCTTATATAGCAACAACAACAACAACAACAACCAGTATAATCCCACTAGTGGGGTCTGGGGAGGGTAATGTGTACGCAGACCGTACCCCTACCCTAGGGTAGAGAGACTGTTTTCAAATAGACCCTCGGCATCCTTCCCTCCAAGAACTCCCCACCTTGCTCTTGGGGTGACTCGAACTCACAACCTCTCGGTTGGAAGTGGAGGTTGATTACCATCATAGCAACCCCTCTTGTCTATAAACCTTATATAGCGACAACAACAACAACATACCCAGTAAAATCCTACTAGTGGGGTTTGGGGAGGGTAGGATGTATGCAGACCTTACCCCTACCCCGGAAGGGTAGAGAGGCTGTTTTCGGGAGACCCTCGGCTCAACAGAAGAGATAATAATTTCATAAAAGAAACGAAAGAAGAGATAGGTAACAACAAAAGAAGTAAGAGAAGTGATAATAATATCTTAAAATAGACCAAATAAGTGAAAGGGAGTGCAATAATATAATCATATGCAAAATAACAAAATAGTGTGAACATAACATATACCGCTACCAGACATAGGCAAAACTCTATCAGACAAACCTTATATAGCGAAAAGCGGAAAAAAAACAGTGCACCAAAAATCATAGAAGAAACCGGGGGATGACAGAGAAAGCCATAAAGTTAAGAAATTCCTCCAGCTTTGGTGATCTTCACCTGTTAGCTGTTTGTTAACCACGAGAATTCAGTATCTTTAGAACTAGAAATCTTCATCAAGGATCTAGAGAACAGCTGGCAAGCACAGTACATGAAGAAAAGGATGAAGATGATCTGGAAGCTTATTCCTTTCGGCATCATTTGGACGGTTTGGCAAGAAAGAAACAAGAGATGTTTTGAAAAGAAAAAGGACCAGATTTCTCCTATAAAATATAGGTGTTTACAACTTTTGTTATAATGACAAAAAGGTGATACTGTAATTAGCATAGATGACTTCTTAAGACTTGCTAGATTCAGTTTCTTGCTAGTCTTCGTATAAGTTCAATATTTTTGTACTACTTTATTACCTTCTTGGTACTGTTATTATTAATAAAATTACCTTATCGAAAAAATATCTAAAAGCTGTTGGTTCCAGCGATTGAGGTAATAAGCATAAAACAGCTAGCGGGCACATCTGGCTGCAAAGGCGGACAACTCCCAACTGTGATATTGAGAAGTTGATATGACATGGAGTTAGAAAATAAAAAAGATATTCCTGAAAATCATTTTTTTTTTCATGAAGTAATATTTCTATTAATGCAGTGGGAAATTCCTATTACAGGAGTAGCTTACAAAATTAAAGAACCTACACAACAATATGGTTCTCTACAATAAAAGCATTTGAAAAGAACTTCTTTCCTCACAGTCTCCCTTTGCCAATTCTTTAAGTTGTGAATGCAGGGCTAAACATGTGACCTCTTCTGCAGTATCACCTATAGATTAACCGCAAGTTGCTTCTTTCCAAAAAACACTAACAATGTTAACAAGACCAGTGCAACTAAATTGATTTTCTTCATTAATTAAACATTACTTGTCCTCAATCATTCACCTTTCTCTTCTATCTTGATATTCAACAAAACTTTTATTCTAATAAAAGGAGAAAAGAAAACCGAAATAAACTATCAAATGGAGTAAGAGGCATATCTAATAATTAACAAACTTGAAATTTCCATATTTTAGTAAGGGATTTTTGTTCCTCTATACTTTTATATAATAAGTAAAGGCATGGTGACATAGTAGTGAAGCTAGTGTCTAATGTATTAGATGAATAGGCTTGTGAAACCCCAAATTAGTAACCGATCCACCAATTCCTTTTGGATAATGCTTAAAATATATAACAAAACGTAATTACTGTATAGGCAAATACTGCACTAAGTTAAAATTCAGTGAGCACAATAGACCCAAACAGACTTACATGGACGGGTCAATGGGACGATCAGAAGGCTCATGGCTGGGGTTGGTGTCCTCCGTTGGACTTCAGAGGGGTACCCGCCTAAGGTCGGCCCCAAGTTGTCGAGCCTATGTCAATAAAAATAAAATTAGATAGGAGTAATAAAATAAATACACATAAACACAAATAACAGACAAGAGCACGAATTTGCTTCTGAGATTCTGCACTTAAAATAAATACATACAGATATTGATTTCTTCTTTATATAGCCATCAAGTATCACTGAAACCTCATATCAATACTCACTTTATTCCAATTTGTACCATAATCATCCCATTTTGCTAAAAATGAATGATACTATTCCATTTCTTTTTTCTTTTTCTTTTTTTTATGACGGTGGTGTTTGGCCCAGCTTGCATGCACCTCGACTATTCCACCGAGCACTTGCTACCACCCACCAGCACAAGTATGGAGAAACTATGCCTACCATCACCTAGTGTCTTTTTTCTTTTTGTTTTTTTCCTTTCTTTTTTATGAAGGCGGTATCTGACCCAGCTTGCGTACACCTCAACTATTCCATTGGGTATCTACTACCTCCTACAAGTACGGGTACGATAAATCTGCCTACCTAAGCTTAGGCAGAAGAAATCACTTAATGTTATTTTGTCTATGCTGGAATTTCAACCTCACACCATTCCATTTCAATATAATTTTCACAACTTTCAGATATTCAAATTCATTCAACTACTCAAACTTTTAACTTTTTCTCTAACAACAAACTTTCAACTATTACTTTAATACTTTCGCTGTCTAATACTCCCTCGGTTTCAATTTATGTGAACTCATTTGACTGGGAGGGAGTATATAATTAATTTAACATCTTAAACTCCACGTTCAGTCAAAAAGCGTAATGCAAACACATGAAATGCGCCGTACAGTGCTAACAATATATGATCGCGATAAATTGTGCGATATTGTTATCATTCATGAAAATATATACTACCTGTGAAAGCGCGAAAGTTTTTCTGAAGCATTAGCACTGATTAATCACTGTGAAATCCATAGTCGACAACAGCGAATTTTCGATTGGCGGATGAAAACGAGCCGGATATGAAAGCCGCCGAACCCGACCCGGTCAATGAGGATTTGCACGAACCGACGCCCAATAATTTGAAGTCCAAAAGGAAATGGATCCGATGCTGTTGAATGTGTGGGCTGAAAAAACAGGCCAATATCAGGACCCTTGGCATTTGAAAATGGATTAGTTAGCTCGTATAGGAAAAGTTGATACCTTACTTATTTTAAATAAATATCCTTTTAAAAAATTATATTTCATAACTATCTTTTAATTTTTTATAGTCAAATATTTATTTATAATCACCTCCTACCCTTAAGCCATAAAATAAGCTTTGTATTATTTTTCATTCTCATATCCCCTCAAATTTCTGCTATCCCCTACCCCGTATCTATTCTCCCTTCCCTCTCTCCCCCTCTCTTTCTCTACTTCTCGATGTCTTCTCCTCCGCCGGAGGCTGGAGCAATTGCCACCATCACCGTTTCGACCATGGCCATTATTTATTGATACCGCCGCCCTCAACCTCCCAATCTCATTCTTTGACGCAACATATCGGATCAACAAAAACCTCCGTTATTTCGCCAGTAATTACGTGCTAATCGTCGATAACCGAAGGCAACGGTGATAGCGAGCGAGGACTGGATACTGATGCTGCTTCAACGAGACGACATTAGGGTTGTTCTTGAACAAAGACGACAGAATTGGGGGCTGAGCAACTTGAATTTTTTGTTAATATATTCCAATGTATCTCGCTGTATTTCATTGTATTCATTGTCTTTATTTCATTGTATTTCAATGTATCTCGCTATATTCTATGTATTTCATTACCTTTTTTTTCATTGTATTTCAATATATCCCGTTGTATTCTATGTATTTCATTGTATTCACTGTCTCGCTATATTCAATGAATGTATTCAGATGTTTTTTTATAATTAATATAATTTATGTATTCGGATGTATTGTATAATTTCTCTGAAGATTGCTATGTTTTCGGGGTGTTTTTCGGTTGAGAATATTTTTTAAAATTGGAAATACAAAATTTGTGTGTTGTAATTGAGTTTGTTGAGTTATATTGGGAGTCTATTATGTTAATTGATTCACTTTCCGTTTAAAAACAGCGTAATCGCTTGTTTCACACCGTGAATACAATCGAATACAATAATCTATCCCACTGTAATCCCATATTTCACGCCATGAATACAGTCGAATACAAAAATATGTCTAGCTGTAATCCCTTGTTTCACACCTAGAAATGCTAATGTATTCATGAATACAGTAACTTAAATACATCGAATACACTCTAAAAAATCTGAAAATATAGCTATAGGAAGTAATATAGTAAATGGTATCTACAACTAGCTAATAGTGGTTTCTGAAAGTTTCTCTTTGAAAATAGGGGTTTTGGCATGGTATAACAACATACCCATATAACTGACAGAAAATAGTTCTAGTTATAAATATTGGTATCAAATAGCCAATAAATATATATCACAATAATAATATGTATATCACAACTTTTTTCTTCTTCTTTGTCTATACCAGCATGTATATTAAAATTTTATTTTTATTCTTTGTATATAAATAATATTATTCTTTGTATATCAATAATATAAAATTATATATATAATTATTGTTGCCTTTATATCAATGTATATATTACAATAAAAATATTATACTATTTGTATATCACATTGTATAGCACATAAGACAAGTGTGTACCAAAATAGATATCATAAATTTATTTCTTCTTTGTGTACATCAATTTTTTTTTTTTTGTATACTAAAATATTATTGACTCCCACAATTATATTTATTATTTTATATTTTAGAACTTGCTTAAACATGCTATACCAAAAATTTATTTTCCTTTTTTTGATCAATAAATAATAATTATATTATTTGTATATCACAATGTATTACATAATAATAATGTGTATATCAAAAAAAAATTATTAAAATTTTATTTTCCTTCTTTGTATATCATATTTCAGATTGAAAACTCAAGTTCAAGATGGCTCCACATATGTATACCCTATTGTAACCCGTGTATATCTCTATGTCTATCAATGATATTTTATGTATATTATATGTATCTGTGTATATCCATGAAAATATATGTTATATATACGATATAAAATGTGATATATATGGGCGTCCATCAAAAAATTATGTTGTATACCGATATACAAAGTGATATACACAGACGTCCTTAAAAACTTGTGTGTGATATACACTGATGTGTACGATATACAACGTGATATACATATATCGCAATTGAATTTTTAGGTCTAATTTTTTGCCTAAAACCAGTCTAAATCACTTCTATCTTGATCAAATTTAAAGCTTCGTTTAGGTATTTTCAACCAATTTCAATCACATACTCATTCAATCCAACCAAAAAAAGGAAGAGAGAAGAAAAACAAAGTTGAAGTATATTTTTTCTCTCTTAGTTTTTGCTAATCTTACTCAAATTTTGTATATAGCCTCGTTTAGGTATTTCAACCAATTTCAATGTTTGAGGCTATCTTTGCCAAACCTAATATAAGGCTAAAAAATTACAAATTCCTGTTTTGGGTTGTTATAGGATGCCAATTTTTCTTGAAAATATCTTTGCACAAATAGACGTTTGAATTTATTATTTATTTTTTCTAGTCATATATATAATTGTAGTTTTTTTTTACTTTTAGCCTACATCAGAAACTATTTATATTCGGTAGCAGAAAAAGTATATTAAAACTGTATAATTTTTGTATATAACATACATTATATATATACAAAAAAATATTTATTTTTTGGCTATTATTTTGAAAGCGACTATACAATGTCATTTTTCCTAAATTAGTTGTACACCGATTATATACAGTTCTATTGTGTGTGTGTGTGTGTTATAATACATACACTTGCTATTTTAGTTTAGTCGATTGAGTGGGCGGCTATTTAGGTCAATTTTGGATTTTAGGCCATATGCAAAAACCTTCAAATGAATTGGGCTACTTGGTCGATCAGATCAGTAACAAAGCCAGCTCCAAGTACATGTTGCCACTCTTGTATACCCTCAGTTCTAATTCGTTTTGTCACTTTTTGTTTATTGAAAGTCTAATTTCAAATTAAATTATGTAGACATGATTTAATTTTAGAATAAAAAGCAAATTAAAATTTCATAACTTATCAGCATTTTTCCATATAATAATGCAATTAGAATGTCCGGTCAAAGTTTCTTAAAATGATCTTGGGAAATCGAAGGCACGTAACAAATATTTAATTCTCTTTCCTCTATACTTTTATTATTTGGCCTATGGTCGTTTCACGAGTTTTATTCGGGAGAAATTCAAAAATAGTTAGATTTACAATCGGTCATTTAAAAATAGTCCAGTTTCAAAAGTAATCAAAATTTAGCCACTTTTCATGTAAAGATAAATCTGAGCGAAAACACTGTTCAAAACCCGAAAAATACATCAGTATATTATACTGGAGTTCCAACATATTATACTGGAGTTACAGGATAAGTATGCTGGAACTCCAGCATAATATGATGGAGTTCCAGCATAAGTACTGTGAGCACGTGATTTTTGCTCTATATGAATTACTCCCACAAATTCAAAACAAAATAATTTTTTCCGTTGTTTGCAGTTTCGTGGATTTTTGTGGCATTTTTCGTTAATTGTTTGCATTTGTCTGTGCATGCTAATTTTGTTTAATTGATGAAAAATACAAAAATATGTTGCATTTGCATTTTAGGATTTAGTTCTACATTTTAGGATTAATTGGCAATTAGATGTTTTATAAAAATGGAAAAATCACAAAAATGGTTTGTTTTCATTGTTCAATTTCTAGATTTGAATTTTGTTGGTTTTCCATTTAATTTGGTATTTAATTAGTTGTAATAATTATTAGGGTTAATTAATTTAATTTTCTAGGATAATTTGGTTTAGGAATTAAGTTGGGTTTCGTTTTATTTTCATTTTTAGAAAAAGAAAAGGAATTAAAAAGGTTTTTCCAATTTTGGGCCGTTTTTATTTAATTCTCTCAAGCCCAAGTCAATTACCCCTTAAACCCGTCCAAAACCAGCCCAAACCCGCCCTTTACCCGGTCCGAATCCCCTCTTTAAATGAAACGACACCGTTTAAGCTTTCCCATCCCAACCGTCGATCTCATTCGATCTAACGGACCAGAACTCGACCCCTTCCCCGTATAAAGTTGTCCGAAATAACCCTACCCCTCAGCCCCCCCTCCTCATTTCTCGTCTCTTTCAGAACCCCCTCCTTCAGAGACCCCATAAACCCTAATAGCCGCCACCCTTTTCCACCGTCCTCCGGTGGTGGCGCCACACCAAACCGCCCCTAAACTAACACCCTGAAACCCTCATGACCCCTCTTTCCAAATCCCTAACCCATATCCCTCGAATCCTCTCAATCCCTTCGAATCTCGAATCAAAGTTCGAAGCCCTAAAAGCCAAATCGCTCTGCCTTTGATTTTGTGGCTTGCATGACCTCAGGCATCCGGGTTTTCAAGATTTTCGAGTCTAATTTGGCATAGGCAGTGTTGATCGTTTGTTTTTAACAAAGAACAATCGACTAACACTGATTGTGTTAAATCAGGGAGTCCAGCTTTGTGGTCGAGTCTAGTCGGTTTTTCTTCTGTCCACTTTTGATTCACGTCCTACTCCTCTTCTTTTCTTCTCATCTTTCTTGAAGTAGACTGAAATTCTAGCAAGTTTCTGAGCTTAGGTCTTTCCCCTAGTTTAATTTTTTTGTGTTCGTTTTTTCGTTCAGTTTTCTGGCCGAGGTTTAAAGGTCTATTCGCTGATTTTGTTAATAACATGCTTGAACCTTTGATTTTGCTTTAGTCTCATAAGTTAATTAAGT